TCCAGGAGTTTGAGGTTGTTATGAGCTAGACTGAGGCCACGGCACTCTGGCCTGGGTGACAGAGCAAGACTGTGTGTCAAAAAAAAAAAAAAAAATAGGTACAAAATGGAACCAAACAGAGTTCCAACAGAAACATATTATATAAGAAATTATGGGATAAAGATAGTATTTCAAATCAGTGGGAAAAGATAAATGGTTCAATATGTGATATTTGGATAATTAACTATTAAAAAAATAGATTCTTAACACACCATACTGAAAAAATAAATTTCAAATGGAATGAACACATTCATATTTGGTCCACAAAAGCAGTAGAAAACCATATGAGAAAATACTTTTAATAATATCACACAGAGGATGGATTTCACCATTTATTGCTCGGGAAGACAGGAAGTACAACAGCCACTAGTAAATGTGCTACATGAGGCCCCCAAAGAACTCCCTGAAAGGGGGGCAGGTAATTCTCACAAAGAGATCCTATCACAATTCACAATCACAAAAAACAGAAATAGTCTAACATTTGGCAGACATCAAGGTCAAAAATATTTTTTAAAAGATTAACCAAGCTGAAAATGTAAAGGACGTCATAGAAAAACAAAAGATCAAAGATAGAGTGAGTATAATTATGACAATACATAGGACAAATACATACTATCATGTTAAAATCTATAAATCAAAAAGGAAAAAATACGATAGAAAAGCAGACAAATACATGAACAGGTAAATGATCACAAAAAATGCTCTACTTCAATCATTTTAATGTAAATCATTTAAATTAATTTTAAATGAGATGTTTTACCAAACCGAAATCTGTCACTAGACTGATGAGGCTGTGGGGAAGCAGGCCCTCTGGGCAGTGTAGCACAGCCATGGTTCCCAACTCCGCAGCTAGGACCTGGCAGCACAGCACCACAGCCTGAGCTCTGCCCCCTCTCCCATGCCCCTACCCCTCTCTGTGGAAAAATCATCTTTCATGAAACTGGTCCCTGATGCCAAAAAGCTTGGGGACCGAGGCAGTACATTACCAGACAGCAATTTGTCCAACATCTCAATGAGGAACTGTCGGGCAGTGCAGGCTGTGGGGCGTGAGCCCATAGAAAGGCTTGCACACCAGTCAGCACTGTGAGTTGAATGCTATCCCGGTGCTCGTGAACAAGGGTGGGTTAAATAAGTTATAGTGCTTCCATGCAATGGAATAATTTTATGTAGCCACTATTCTAAGGAATGAGGTAGGTCACTGGACAAGTAAAGATATTCTATTATATGTCATCAAGTGAATTACAGATGGCAATATATAGGATGCCCTCAGTGTTTTTTAAATGATACAGGAATACACATCACTTAGAAGAATATGCAGGTGTTTATCTCTAAACAGTGAAAATACTGAGCAGTCAATTCTTGACCTCCTGCGTTATTTAAATTGCCTCTAAGCTTGCATTGCACCTACAATGAAGAAAAGATTTTCAAGCCCTTGAGAGCTGTGCGTTTCCTCCGCAGTCTTCCAAAGCACCTGCCCAAAGTCAAGAAGCCAGGTACTGTTCACCACATGGGAAGACAAGAATACACAGGCAGCTAGTAAATGTGTTGTGTAAACTTCCAAAAAACTCCCTGAAATGGGCACAAAATATTCTCAAAAAGTGATCCTTGGGCAGCGCCTGGGGCTCAAAGGAGTAGGGCACTAGCCCCATATGCCGGAGGTGGAGGGTTCAAACCCAGTCCCAGCCAAAAACTGCAAAAAAAAAAAAAAAAAAAAAAAAGTGATCCTATCACAATTCACAATCCACACAAAAATGTAAGTCATCTAACGTTTGACACTTATTCACACAGGCTCTACCAAGGACATTCACACATCACCTCCACGCTGTCTTTACTGGCCACTAAGGTGGAAGGAACCCAGGCTACCCAGCAAGTCCCCACTATTCACACGAAGAGAGGTGACCAGCTGCCTCAAGAGCTGTGTGGCAATCCTCTGGCCCCGATGGCCCGGGAGTTACAGCACCTTCTTTCACTTCCAAGAAAGAGCTGGTCTCCTTGGAAGACGTGGATTTCCTCTTAGAGCAGACTTCTGCACGATGTGGGGTCTTTTTTCTCTGTTTATTCTTCAGTCTCCTCTTGAATGTCTGATATGCTAGGTGTTAAAACATTGAGAATCATTTTCGCATATGGCAAAATTTGGTAACATTGTATATTTGTCAGTGCTTTGGGGATCTGTTTGCTTTGTGTCGCATACATAAACACACACACACACACACACAAAGGAGGAGAGAGAAAGCTATACAACAAAATGATTCTGTGTATCAGAAGGGCTCTTTCTGTCTGGACTGACTCATCAGCTCATTCATTCACCCCGCAAGCAGATTCGGGGTTGCTTACTGAGCCCGGCATTCTCCTGGGGCTGGGACAGAATGGGAAGGAGTTGGACATGATGCTTCCCTCACAGCCTCACGGTGGCAGGGAAGAGGAAAAGGGCCCTACAACCAGGAGCTTGACTCTGCTAGGATTTCACTCATCTCATAGGAAAATTAAACCCCAAGTATTCCTTACGTTATTATACTGATTGTCATATCTGTGATCAGTATGTAATCAGCTACATCAGCAATCATTGAACCACTCTGAGTTTGTTCTCTGACACAGTAAAAATTTACAGTGGCCAAAGATTAAAATATATGGCATACATATACATATAGTTTTTAACTTATTTTCTGTGAACCTACATAATGACTGCCAAATCAATATACATTTGATTGTATAGACAGGTTAATCTATATACTGTATGTGTGTATTTATGTATAGTATTTCAATACATACTTACGTATTATATTTAAAAAATATTTCACAGCTATTTAGTACAAATCTTAGTTATAGAAACACTGAAATAACTTGACATTTGGGAGACTCAAGGCTTTTAAGGAAACGTAACAAATAAATGCTTGAGTTCGGTAAATGTCACTTTTGAGATTAGTGATTGCTCATGGAGACCTTGTCTAACGTGGCCTGAAATCCAAGTTCTGATAATGCATTGTTTTTTGTGAAGCACGTTTGTTTATAATTATAAGCTCACTTTCAGATTTTTAAAAAGTATTTTTCTGTGAAATTCCCACTTGTGTCAAAGTATCCTGTGCATGCACTTTATTGTCCCCAGAAATATCAGGCTAAAAACATATCACAGGGACAGTGCACGTAAGTTGGGACTGAAAAAACCATCATCAAATTGGGCTGCCCAATTTTCAGTGAAGTGCACACGATGGAAGTTCACCCACCTGCGATAATGAGAAATCCATCCAGCACTTGGAAGAGTCCATAGGCCAACGGGAAGAAGTACATCTGGGCCAAGTACTCGGCACTGAAGGACAGCTGGAGCATGGTGACACACATCTGGATATTCTGAGCTCCGGTCTCTAAGGAAATCGTCCTGCACCTACCAAGGAAAAAATGTTCAGGAGTTACATACTAGCAATAAGAACTATTCTTAAATTTTCTAGTATGTATGACAACAAACGTTAGCTCCGTAGCTCAGGCCCCTCAAAGGGTTTCCTCAGTCAGTAGTTATTTGCTGAGCGCCCTCTCTGTAGGGGGCCTTCTGAGAGGCACTGTGGAGTAGGACTTTGCAACCCCTGCCCTGAGGAATCTAGGTAAAAGGGTAAGATGGACAGACAGGAAAGGTTCAGTAACGGTTCAATAATAAAAAAAAAAGGTTCAATAATAATACAAGTAAAATATGATCGAGGGCCAGGGAGATGCTGTAGAAATTCAGGAAAGTGGCAGAAGTGGTGAGAGCAGGTGTCACAGAGGAGGAGTGAGTTTAAAGGATGAAAAGAGTGGAAGCTTTAATGTGGGGGACAAATGGTTGAAATTAAAGTTCCAGGGACAAGAGTCACTGCATAAACCGTAAGCCAACGTGCACGGAGTGGAGGGTTGGAGGAGCTGAGATCGGAAAGTTGAATTAGAATGACCATAATCTTTCTACCCTCCTTATGCTTAGGTATGCTTTGTCTGCAGGACAAAACTCTCCGTGTCTCCAAACGCAGCTGCCACAAAGGCTGCCAGTGGTGGTGTGTTTAATTTACCTTTCTCAAAAAAGTTTTCAGATAATTTAACTGTACCTTTGCCAAGATTGGTGGGTAAGAAGTGCCAGCAGAAAGCCTGCGATATGGCCGATCAAAGGAAAGATGAAACTGATGGTGAGAAGGGTGACATCCGAGTTCCAAAGTCCTTTCACCAGCAGTACACCAGCGATTGCGACCATCAGGAAGAGGATCCCACCGACGATGGCCCCAACCTATAACAGACCAATGAAATGAGCACGTGCAAACATCAAGGGGGGTTGTCATCAAAATTCTTGGATTCTAGAAATATTAAAACAAGGAGGGGACTTAGAGACGACTGAATCCAATATCATTTTATAGAGGAGAAACCTGAGTTTCAAGGTGGTCAAGTCACTTAACTACACTAGATATCGTTGTCATAAATATAAATGTTATTTTATGATCAATATCTTTTCCCTTCAAGCAAAGGATTGGACAATAGAGTTTTTCATAGATATGACAGAATTGTGAAATAACTGGCATCTGAGAGTAAGGTTCCAACACCCTCGCACCACCAAAGCCTCTCGGTGGTGACCTGTCACCTGAGTCCACAGCGCCTGACCAGCTGCTTCCCCACCGTCCCTTCAGTGGCGTCCTGCTGCTCTGATCCCTGCCCTTCTCTCCCTACAAGGACTTCACCCTTTCTTCATTAGACAATCTGAGCTGAAGTTCATGTGACAGAAGTACCAACAGGGACCTCTATCTTCTCCCAAATAGATGCTACCTCTTACTTTTGTTGTTCAACAGGAACAGAAACAAAAAGTCAACACCACCAACAACAAAAATGCTAACAGTTACAGTTTTAGATCAAAGAGGAAAGAAGCATGGCCTAGGATATTTTGAGAAAACCAGGATCTTGGCAAGCTCCCATCCACATCATGTACACAGCAAACCATGTCCCTAGTTACAGCATCATCCTTGATTTGAAATGATTCAGAGCGTGAAGAAAGGTGGTCATGGGGAACTAAGTGACCAACAAACAGATAAACGAAACATACTCAGGTACCAGAGCCATCCACGCTGCTCACATACAGACACCAACCGGCGACAACACCTCTCCCAGCAGAAAGGCGCCGAAGCCCGAGAAAGCCCCTGAATACCAAATGCTCTCCTCCTCTTTCCACCAGAAAGGGATTTCAAAGTTTAAAATTCATGAAGTGCAAATGAGCAAAACCCAAGTTTGTTCAGAAAATGTGGCAGTTCTAAAATTAACATAGGACCAAGAGCAGAGAACAAAGATGTACTAAAAAATTAAAATAGCCTAGTGTTTACTAAGGTGCTGTAGAATATTTATACCTATGAGAAAATACTTCCATGATCTGGCAATTATGAATTGGGCTGCAATAAACATTCTGATACAAACATCTTTATTGTAATGTGATTTTTTATCTTCTGGGTATATACCTAATAATGGAATTGTAGGATCGAATGGCAGGTCTATTTTTAGTTCTCTAAGTGTTCTCCAGACATCTTTCCAAAAGGAACATATTAGTTTGCATTCCCACCAGCAGAAGTGTTCCCTTTTCTCCACATCCACGCCAGCAACTCTGGTTTTGGGATTTTGTGATATAGGCTAATCTTACTGGAGTTAGGTGATATCTCAAAGTAGTTTTGATTTGCATTTCTCTAATGATTAAGGATGGTGAGCATTTTTTCATATATCTATAGGCTGCATGCCTATCTTCTTTGGTGAAATTTCTCTTTAAGTCCTTTGCCTACCTTGCAATGGGATCACTTTTTTTTGTTTTTGTTAGTAAGTTTGAGTTCTCTATGGATTCTGGTTATTAAACCAAGTGCCCATCAATCCACGAATGGATCAATAAATTGTGGTATATGTACACCATGGAATACTATGCAGCCCTAAAGAAAAATGGAGACTTTACCTCCTTCATGTTTATATGGATGGAAATGGAAAATGTTCTTCTTAGCAAAGTATCACAGTAATGGAAGAAAAAGTATCCAATGTACACAGCCCTTTTATGAAACTAATTTATAGCTCTCAAATGAAAGATATAACTTAATTCTAGCCCAAGAATATGGGGAGGGGGTGAGGAAGGGGAGGGGATAAGGGCGGCCGGGTGGTGGGAGGGTGACCGGAAAGATCACCTATATATCTGTCTAACAAGGGTACAAGTGAACTTTTCTAGAACTAGAATATAAATGTTTTGACACAATGACTAAGCAAATGACATGAAATCTATGTTAACCAGCTTGATGAAAGTATTTCAAATTAGTATATGAAAACACTACACTGTACCCCATGTCTGCATTAATGTATACAGCTATCATTTAATAAAAAAAAGAAAAGAAAAGAAAATACTTTTGCCACAAATACTGTGAAACAGCCAAAGGAAAGGGATTTTATATCTGCTCTTCACAGGTAATAAAGGAGGCATACAGAAAATTTATCTGGGTTTTTCTATTGACACTGATAGACAAACAGAGGATCTGGAAACAACAAAATTGTGATTTTTTTTTTGTATGTTGTTGTTAAATGGCCTTTTAAGAAAAGTAATCAAAGATAAAGTGTTTGAAAAGTAAGGAGTTTTCATTGATCACACAAGGGTTGTCCTGAAAGTATCCAGCTAAGTAATAAGAAAACTAGAAGCTAGGCACAGTGGCTCACGCCTGTAATCCTAGCACTCTGGGAGGCTGAGGCAAGTGGACTGCTTGAGCTCAGGAGTTCAAGACCAGCCTAAGCAAGAGTGAGAACCCTTCTCTACTAAAAATAGAAAAACTAGCCAGGTATTGTGGTGGGCTGCAGTGGTCCCAGCTACTTGGGAGGCTGAAGCAGAAGGATGGCTTGAGCCCAAGAGTCTGAGGTTGCTGTGAGCTATGACACCATAGCACTCTAGCCTTGGCAAAGAGCAAGATTCTGTTTCAAAAACCAAAAAGAAAGAAAAGGAAAATAGAGATATACATGGCCAGACACTTTCCAGAGTGGACCTCCCTAGTACTCTCTCCTTGTTTTATTAAAAAAAAATCATAAGCTAACACTGCCACATTAGAAAATTTCTTCTACTGGAAAATGTTCTTCTTCACAAAGTATCTCAAGAATGGAAGAAAAAGTATCCAATGTACACAGCCCTATTTTGAAACTGATTTATAGCTTTCATAGGAATGTTATAACCTAATTATAGCCTTAGAATATGGGGGGGGGTAGGTGGAGGGAGGGTGATTGGTGGGGTCACCTCTCTGGTTTATCCTACAAGGGTGCAAGTGAATCTTTCTAAAAGCAGAGTATGAATGTCTTAACTCAATAACTAAGAAAATGACATGAAGGCTACGTTAACCAGTTTGATGAGAGTATTTCAAAATATATATGAAAACACCACACTGTACCCCGTGATTGCATTAATGTACATAGCTATGATTTAATAAAAAAAAAAAAAAAGAAAAGAAAATTTCTTCTACTGAAATAATAGATACAGAAATGAAGGGACTGTATTCGATGAATACAACTAGAAAGGAGACTGAAGATCAGGTGTACACCATCAACATCACAGTCACTCGCAGGCAACCCCAATGCACGGGCTCACGCCTTCCTCCTAGTGCCCAGCTGGCCTGCCTGCTTATCAGCCCCTCTCCTCCTCATCTCATTGCTCATCTTCTGGAAACTGAAGAAGCAGAACCTGCTGGTGCCAGCACAGAGAGTGGCCATGTTCTGTCCCATGGAGCCAAACAGGAAGAGTTGCGACTGAGTCAGACCATAAACCTCAAACTAAAATCAACAGAGATTTACTTGGCAACCCTCCAAATAACCGCAAACGTTTTAGTCTTCATAAATGTAAAAGACTCTTCAACTCCTCCTGAAAGCGCATAGTATCATCGTAGATGCTTTAAATGACCCCAGATTGGAAAACTCCGTAGCATTCTGACGTCATGGGTGAGCCTGCCTCCTCTGGAGGTAAAAGCCAGTGAACAGGAACATTTGTTAATTTGTCCAGCAGCCCTGCAAAGTCAAGAGGAGGCAGGAAGTTCAATGACACTGCTCCACAGCGAGGCTGCTCAGGGCTCTGCACACCATCTCACTTAGAGTCTCACTCACATGGTCTGCAGCCCTGCTCATGTGTACAAACTACCACTTTAGAGATGCCCTCAGGAACTCATCTGCAAGACGGCCCTTGCCCCTACTTTTCTAAGAAAACTGCCATATTCCTGAGCCCTGGGGCTCCATTTCATGCTAGCTTGAACAGCTGTCCTGGTGACAGTGCCTGTGGGAAGCCTTAGGAGTGGACAGGGCCTGGACTCTTCTGTCCAGGCGTAGGCCTGAGCTATGCTGTCGCTACATTGAGTTCCATGTTTTCCAGGGTGAAACAGAGGAGGCTGCAAGGAGTGGAATTAACAGGAGAGTTGGATCCAAAACCGAGACAAGGGAGGGAAATTGCTGGGTGTGGCGCTGCCTCTGAGCAGCTCGCTGATTCCAGCATCGCCTACTTCTGCCTTCCAAGTCCCCGAGCCTGAGGATAGGATAGCAGTGACATGGAGCTGCTTACCTTGAGAATGATTTTGGACTGTTTAGGCCACCTGTAATTCACGTAGATACCAATGGCCACAGGAATGAGCAGGGACGCCAGGGTAATTCCTACAGAGAAGAAAAATCCATCAGCCGGTCTCCCTTCTCACCTAACTGCCCGGCCCTTCTCAACAATTTCCATTTCAATTAGATGACAGCTTTTAATCATGAGATTTTGGGGGGTTTGTTGTTGTTGTTGTTGTTGTTTGTAGAGACAGAGTCTCACTTATCACCCTCAGAAGAGTGCCGTGGCATCACACAGCTCACAGCAACCTCCAACTCCTGGGCTTAGGCGATTCTCTTGCCTCAGCCTCCTGAGTGGCTGGGACTACAGGTGCCCACCACAATACCTGGCTGTTTTTTTGTTGCAGTTTGACCAGGGCAGGGTTTGAACTGGCCACCCTTGGTACCTGGGGCTGGCGCCTTACCCACTGAGCCACGGGCACCACCCTAGATGACAGCTTTAAGTGAAGCTGCATTTTATTGCTGCATCCACCTGCAAAGGTAGAAATTTTTTTTTAATCTTGGAAACAGTCTTTGAAGGGTATACGATGATACCCATGGTTGCCACCATCTCTGGGCTATCTTTTCTCTCTCAGAATCCCTCTGGCACATGAATCACATGGAATTTTAAAGACAAACAGATAGGGAAGGATTAGAAAACAAGAGGACCGTTTTAAGTCCGTGATTCCTTGGTTGCCACGTATGAGTGCCACCCCTCTATAACCACAGCTATTATTTCCCTATCTGAGGCCAATGGGTCCTTTGCTTCATTCACTAAGTAAAAGAATATCCATGGCTGGGCACAGTGGCTCATGCCTGTAATCATAGCACTCTGGGAGGCTGAGGCAGGTGGATTGCTTGAGCTCATGGGTTCGAGACCAGCCTGAGCAAAAGCAAGACCCTTGTCTCTACTAAAAATAGAAAAACTGAGGCAAGAGGGATCTCTTGACCCCAAGAGCTGGAGGTTGCTGTGAGCTATGCCATGGCACTCTACCCAGGGCAACAGCTTGAGACTTCATCTAAAAAAAAAAAATCTATTACTCACACCTGTAATACCAGCACTCACTCTGGGAGGCCAAAGTGGGTGGAACACCTGAGCTCAGAAATTTGGGTCCGGCCTGAGCAAAAGTAAGACATTGTCTCTACTAAAAATAGAAAAATTAGCTGGACATTGTGGTGGACTGTAGTCCCAGCTACTCAAGAGGCTGAAGCAAGAGAATGGCTTCAGCCCAAGAATTTAAGGTTGCTGTGAGCTGTGACACCACGACACTCTATTCAGGGCACAGAATTAGACTTGATCTCAAGAAAGAAACAAAAAGAATATCTATTACAGACATAGGGACAGTAATTGTTATACTACCAAAGCAGTTTCTCATAGCCAGGTAACCCAAAGATGGGTAGAATAAAACATCTTTGAATTAGTATAAGCAGATAAAGGCATTGACAGCAGCACCAGTAGAGCTGAGGAGACTGCCCCCTTGCCAGCAGGATCCATACTGACATTCCCAGTGCCTCTTTCCAAATCTGCCAAAGGTCTATAATATTGGCTGCAAAGTTATATGAGTTGCTCATAACATTTTGAGTACAACTTGTTTATGATTGTCTTTCAGAACATATTATCAAAAACAGGTTATGTTAAATAACTAATCAGAAAAAGTGGCACATAAGATCGTGGTTTCTAAATTAAGGCTTCACTCCAACTTTACAAATTCAATGGGCTCCAGCTGTTATCAAGAGATGGTTCCAATTATGGTTTTAAACCCTGGGCTGTAAGCCCTCAAGGTGCTGACTTGAGCATCCAGACTAACACTTTTAGAGATTTTTGTTCTAAGAATTAATAGTTTCTATCCCTTCTCCAAAGACTCTGACCACACTAGAATAGGCAGATCATTTCACCACATTTCTCTTCCAAGCCTAGTAAGTCCACAGAGATCTTTAGAGAAAGGGCAGCGTTTATGTGACATAACACTCAGGAGAAGAGACAATGAATCAGATCTGGGCACGGCTGTGACATGCAGATGAACTTTGATCATCAGGAAGAATAATTCACTGTCAATCTAAGAGCAAGTCAAGGCTCACAGGCAGTGTGTAAGGTGAAGGCATGGGAACTAAGTCTAATTAGAGCCACAAGATCCAGCTAACTTTGAACCAGAAAAAGTTCAATTGCTTCATAGTATTAACTATATAAGGGTGTAGTTGATTTTTTTTTAAAAGTAAATTCTCTGAGTCTGGGAGTGGTGTCTCACACCTGTAATCCCAGCACTCTGGGAGGCAGAGGCAGGTGTTGCCTGAGCTCACAGGTTCAAGACCAGCCTGAGTAAGAGCAAGAGCCTGTCTCTAAAAAACTAGGCAGGTTAGGTGATGGGCACCTGTAGTTCCAGCTACTTGGGAAGCTAAGGCAAGAGGATGGTTTGAGCCCACGAGTTTGAGGTTACTGTAAGATATGATGCCATAGCACTCTACCAAGGGCGATAAAGTGAGGCTCTGTCTCAAAAATAGTAATAAAAATAAAAATAAAGAAAGTAAGTTCTCTGGCTTTTATTTTCAAAAATAAACTCTCATAGGGGTTAAGAACTTGGACTTTGCAGGCAGATTCCCAGGTTAGAACTCTAGGTCTGCACTAACCAGCTTCATGGTCTTGGTCAAGTTACTTTAACCTCTCTAAACCAGAAAATCTAGGAAATTGGACTAGTAAAATGATAGAAATATACTGGAGGATTATTTAGTGAATTAAATTTGATACTATCAAAAAATCCCTAAATAAAGAGATGTGTAATTAACCATAGCTATTCATTGCACAAGCCCGGTACAGACCTATGTTCTGGTACGGAATAGTGAGATTCTGCTGAAGATTCCAGGATGAGGAGTAGACATAAAGGCAGAGCGGCATCATTCCCAGGGCAGCCACCGTGGAACAGGCTGTCATACTGATGCTGAAAGTCAAATTAAGATGATTCTTAGAAGGGAGAGTTGGAAATTAAGAATTTAGTCTTCACCAGAAGCCACTCTTAAGATAGAATTGCTTTGAGATTATATGAGGTAAGCTCCTTGGAACTTCCTTCTCTAATATTATTCCACAAACAGTGGCTCTCTTTTTGCTCTAGAAAAAGATTTTCAGCAGTATTTCCATGTATAAATTAACTCATATTTATTTAAGTATCTATTAATACCTGTCCTGAACATTCTGTGAGGTACTGTAGGATTCTTTTCTTATGTACTTCTCTTTTATTGAGATATTAATTCACAGATCATAAAATTCATCATTTTAAATTATACAATTCAGCAGTTTTTAATATAGTCACAAGATTATGCAAAAATGGCACTATTTCCAGAATATTTTCATCACCCCCAAAAGAAATGCCATTCCCATTAGCAGTCATCACCCTTTCCCTCCTGTTCCTTTCTCCGTCCCCAGACCTTGGCAAACATGAATGTACCTCTGTCCTTAGAGGGTTACCCTTTCTAACCATCTCCTATGAATAGAATCATACAATATGTGGCTTTCTTTGTTGTTTTCTCTTTCTTCTTCTATTTTTTTTTTAAATAGAGTCTGACTCTGTGGCCCTGGGTAAAGTGCTGTGGTGTCATAGCTCACAGCAACGTCAAACTCTTGGACTTAAGCAATCCTCCTGCCTCGGCCTTCCAAGTAGCTGGGACTACAGGTGACCACCACTATGCCCAGTGAGTTGGGGTTTTTTTCTTTATTTTCATCAGGCTGGTCTCAAACTTCTGAGCTCAAGCAATCTACCCTTCTCAGCCTCCCAGAGTGATAGGATTACAGGTGGGAGCTGCCACACCCAGACATAGGTGGCCTTTTTTAGGTGTCTGTCTTCCAGATTCATCCATATATCAGGGCTTCATTCCTTTTGTGTCCTTATTCTATTAACATGGGTATATTGCATTAATTTTTCTGTATATTGAACCAACCTTGCATTTCGGGATAAATCTCACTTTCCAGGGTATATAATCCTTTTTCTGTTGCTAGATTCAGTTTAGTAGTATAGTAGTATTTTGTTGAGAATTTTTGCATATATGTATTTTTTAATTTTTTCCTTTATTAAATCAATTGTGTACATTAATGCATTTATGGAGTATAAGTACTGATTTGATATATAATGTGGGATCCTTACATTGAACTGATTAACATAACCTTCAGTAGGTTATGTTAATCCTTACTTATTTGCTGTGGTAAGACATTTATACTCTATTCTTAATAGTTTTGAAATGTACCATTGCCTTAATCTTTGCATATATAGTCATAAGGGATATTGGCCTTTGGTTTTCTTTTCCTGTGATGTCTCTGTCTCGGTTTGGTACCAGGGGGATTAGAATAAGGCAAGTTAAAATGCCACAAAGCCAAGTGTGAAGTGTTATTAAGTATCTGTTAAGAAGTACCCACAAACCATATGCCATAAGATTCCCAGTAGAATAGTGATCTATAGTCATTGACCCTCAGATAGGGTAAGGTGGATAGAGCAGGGATGGGTTAGAACCACCCCACAGAAAGGGAATAGATGTGAGATACTAGACTAAATTAAAAATCCTCTTCTGATTTCGATATTGTATGATCCTATGAGTAGAAATTAGAACTGAAGCAGAGTGAAATAATAGTGTAGTGGACAGAAGAACGGAGTCACTTAGCACCAGTTTGAGGGAACATATTAAGTTAGAGGTGATAATGGGATATCCAATCTTTATTGAACAAGCTTGGAATGATTTCTAATAGACAAGTGGTCTATTTATCTTTATCATTATTGAGATTATTTCTAAATTAAAAAGGCTGCCATCACTAGAGACACAAATCTGGCCACGTTGGGAAGTAAAATATGAGTTCATGAGTTAGATGAGCCAAACCAAAATGCTCCAGCTAATACCTTGTGTAAATATCGCTTTACCAGGAAAGAAGGGGAGAGTATCAGAAAGGAGTCTTGGTCTTTATGAGTAAACCATGAATAATTCCTCACAGACATTTATTTTGTTTATCTTTGTCATTATTGAGATGAATTATCTCTGATAAAAAAGCTAACACATTTTAAGTGCCACTAAGGATTTGCAAGCAACTAATGTCTGAAAGAAGAGTGGTTTGGTTTAAAGTCCTCAAAGATACTGCTACGGTCTGAAAGGGTTCCCCACAATTCATGTATTAAAAACTTAATCCACAATATAACAGTGTTGGGAGATAGAGCCCTTTGGGAGGTATTTAGGTCGTAAGAGAGCCACACTCAAGAATGGATTAATGCCGTTATAAAAGGGCTTGACCAGGGGAGTTCTTTCTTTTTTTGCCCTTCCACCTTCCATCCTGTGAGGACAAAACAAGAAGGCCCTTGCCAGACAAGAGATGCCCACACCTTGATCTTGAACTTCCCACCATCCAAAACAGTGAGGGAATAAATGTCGATTCTCTATATATTACCCAGTCTCAAGAATCCTGTATAAAAGCACAAAATGGACCAAACATTGTGCTTTTATTGCATTATATGAACCAAGTTATTCTTCATAAATTTATAATAGATCCTGTTTTTGTTTTTTCCAGATATAATACTATTTAAGTTCTTACTTTTTTTTTAGATACAAAAGTCTCATTTTATCACCCTTGGTAGAGTGGTAGAGTGCTGTGATGTCACAGCTCACAGCAACCTCCAACTACTGAGCTTAGGCAAATCTCTTGCCTCAGCCTCCTGAGTAGCTGGG